TGTTTTCCTTTAATGGTTTAAGGGATCACACTCTTTGGACATTAGGCTTAAGGTCATAGAAGATCTTACTTAGCCATTTTTCGTTCATGACTTTTTTTCTTGGTAAGCAAAGCGCTGACCAGATGATAAGACATCATGACCTTGGTTCAATCTAACACTGCAAAGCCTCTAAGATTAATAGGCCCAACTATTGTTTTAACTGAAAAACCAAATGGTGGTGAAATTTCTTCTTTTTTTCCTGTCTGGAAAACCATTTGAGAAGTGCCTCAGTCTTTAAGGGGGGGCATGAAACAGTAAGGAGGGCATAATAAGGAAAATGAAAGGAAGGTTCTTGAGATACCTGTTTCTTGTTCCAGAAAACATTATGTGGGACATAATACAGTGTCCTCTAGCAGTCTTTAGCCTCTTTGCTTGTTACAAATGGTCCTGAAGATGGAGTTTCAGACAGGCTGCTTACCAGAATTTTACCACAGCCTTCTAGATTGGCCCCAGGAGCCCGCCTTATAAACGTCTCCTCTCTCATGGACCAGCTCCACTCAGACTAGTCCTTGTAAAACAGCTGGAGTGTTCATTCCTCTTCTGGCAGGAACTGGTCTGTCTCTGAGATGGGGGCATAAAACAGTTACGGGCACATAGGTAAATAAGGAAAATGAAAGCAGTGTTCCTGAGATGCCTGTTTTTTATTCCCAGAAAACATTACAAGGAGAAAAAATAGAAAGGCATGGGCCAGGCCTGTTTATGTAAACAGGATCAACAGAAGAAAGGGGAGGGTCCAGGAGTCCTATAAAATACCCAAGCCAACAGTACTTTATTGGACTTCCATCATTAGGCTTCTCACATCCTGAGAACATGACGTTACTTTTCTCTGAGGCTTGGTCTTCTGTCTTTTCCAGTTGTTTCTTAGTTTGTGCCAGGGGAAGCTCTAACAATCTCCTAGACAACTGCCCTCATCCCTGTTACAACTGAATTTTAGATCCATGAAGGTATATTTTAAATTGTAATGTACTCTTAATATTTAATGAGTAGATTAGTGTTTGTTTTCTTGTTCTTTAGTATTTAAATTGATCTGACTATTCTGGAATTGGGAAACACTTTATGACATAAAAATTGATTAAGTGATTTCTGTTTTACAAAATATTTGGGCACCCTAGCCTAACAAAGTTGACATGAAATGAGCCATGATGCTAACCTTTGTAAGCACTTACTCCCTTTGCACACTGACACAAAGGTTCTAATTTGTGCAATATTCACCTTACAGTCCTATGAGCTAGTCTCATTACTGCCAGCCTCCTTTTAATAGCACAGAAAGGCTAAGCGACTTGTCTGAGATCATACTGCTTGTGGATTAGTGTTGGATCTTTCAAACTGACTTTTAAATATTGTACTATTCCCTTCTCATAAAGATGAAAACTGAACTCATTAGCTCTTTATATGTTCTTCTAACTATTCTTGTAAACACCTTCGTCCTACCAGTAATTTGTATATCACATGTCTCAACTTTTACACTTTACACAATAGCCTTTGATAAAGTCAGCCTTATCCTGATTTTCCAGATGAGGAGATTTTTGACACACCAAGAAGTAAATGATTTGTTGCAGGCCTCAGTGTGGAACAGAGAGAATTTGAATCCGGGTTCAGTCTCCAAAGCTCATTTCTTTCTTCTGCCTCTCTGTACATGGTTATTGATTCTAAATATTGTAGAGATGTTCCTGCTAGTATTTTGATTTGTATATCTTGAATTAGTTCAGCCAAAGTTATCTTCTGTTATATTGTATCCCTTGTGTAAAATATATAATGATCACTAGTTTCTGGTCACTTTATGCTTCTGGAAAGAATATACAATGCAAAGAATGGTGGAGAGGAGGAGAAGGAGGAGGATGTGGGGGGAGAAGGAAAAGGAGAAGGAGGACCCTTTCACAGGGATCACCTAAGACCATTAGGGAACACAGATATTAACATTGTGATTCATAAGAGTAGTAAAATCACAGTTATAAAGTAGCAGTGAAAATAATTTTATGGTTGGGGGCCACCAATACATGAGCAATTGTATTAAAAGGTCACGGCATTAGGCAGTTTGAGAACCACTGAAGTACTGGGAGCTTCTGTGTCTCATTAAAAACAAAGAGATAGAGCCTCACTCTTTCTGAAGCACTGGAATAGGAGAAATAAGCACTTTGGTTCAGTTAGGCCAGAAAATAAACTATGCCCCCTGAGATGAGCAGATTTGCCTTCTGGCAAGCTCCTTCCTTAGAAAAAGAGATACAAACCAGAAATGGGTAACTTTGCAATCGGCTTATAACACTGGAGTTAGGTAGTTACCTTTAGCCTGTTTGAAGTGACTGAAAGCTTTGTGCCAGGAGGCTGTTTCCCAATGGAGCTTAGGAGAAAACAGAGCATACTGTGAGCTTACTGTAGAGAAGGGTCATGGTGGCCTAGAATTTGTTTCCTCCTTCTAAATTTTCCAATAAGATATTTATGTTAGGGGGGCAAAGTCTCTGTCTAGACGTTACTATGACTGAAGAATCAGAGCCTGGGTGTGCATTTGCCCACAGACACTCTCTCCCTCTCCTTTTCATGTTGAAAAGTACCAAAAGTAACCTCCAAGAGAGAAAGGGATCTGCTGATCCCACAGACTGATATGGACCACATTTATACTTGTTCACACAGCATACAATCACCAGTTCTAAAAACAGAACAGGTGACAACTATCTCCAGAGAGTCTATAAAAGAAATGCCAGAGTTGAGTAAAGGCTTCAGAATTAGACGGTGTTGCTTCTGCAGCACTTGTAGATAGGACATCAGAGATGCTCTAGAGAGAAAGGCACTGGGTAGCACTGTATAGGAAATATGAGTTCGGCATCTTCACACCTCTCATAAGAAAGTACATGACATAGTAGCAGGCAGCATTGCTGTGAAGAGAGACCCTGCCTGAAACTAAGCGCCTCAGCTCACTTTCTCAGCCTCTTCATCCAGTTTCTTTAGTCACAAACACAAATGATAGTAATTATTTTTCTTTGTTTTAAAACGAGATTTATTAATTTTAATTATGCCTATGGGTATGGTCTGTGCACAGGAGTGTTGTTATCCTTGGAGGTCAAAGGCATCGAATCCCCTGGAGCTACAGCTGCCCTACGTGAGTGCTGAAAATCAAACTAGGGTTTTCTGGAAGCATAGAATGTGCTCTTAAGTGCTGTTTTGGTGCTAAGGATTGAACTCAAGGCACTGAGCACCCTGGGCACTAACTATAATAGCTCCACTAGAAACTATTTCAACACCCATCATAAAAATAAATGAATAAATTCTGATATAATTGAGAAATGGAAAATTATTAAGACCTGAAACTGTACAGCAAGATGGAAGAACCTTACAAAAAAACTATTGAACCAGAGAAGCCAAGCAAGCAAACAAACAAAAGAATGAATAGTTTACAGTTTAATAAATATCAAGTGTAAAGACAAAATTACTTTACTATATTAAAAGTCAGCATAGAGGTTGCCCTTTGATGGCAGTAACAGGATGGCAGGGTGAAGGAGTCCTAGATATTAATAACATTGTTTTTTGATCTGGTGCTGGATGGAAAGACAGGCCATATGTTGAGAAAATCCCTTGAGCCACATTCAATCGCATACTTTTCTGTATGTATGTTAGATCCAGTAACAATTTCAAGAGCTTTATGAAAATTGACTCTCTACCCAACATAATCCTCACATCATCGTTAGAGTTTGTGAGTCATCAACATGAACATCACTGTCTAAACACATTATTATTAAGTGCGCCAGATTGCCAGATGATCCTGGACTAGGAGGTATAATTAGTCAATACAACTTAATCATTAATTTTAAGAATATTTTAAATTAAAACTTATTTCAAACAGTGTATTTTGAGCATATTCTTTCCCCTTCCACAATTCCTCTCAGATCATCCCCACTTTCCTACCCACCCAAATTCATGAATTCACTCTCTCTTCCTCTCAAACAAACAAACAAACAAAAAAGAAATAAAACAAACAAACAAACAGCCGGGCGTGGTGGTGCATGCCTGTAATCCCAGCACTCAGAGGCAGAGGCAGATGGATCACTGAGAGTTCGAAGCCAGACTGGTTTACTAGCGAGTCCAGGAGAGCCAAGGCTACACAAAATAAGCCTATCTCCAGGGGGCGGGGGGGGGGGGGGGGGGGAAAGAGACCAAAAAATAAAAATAAAAAACAAAAATCAAAACAAAACTAAAACACGCACACAGAAAAAATATGGAATCAGTTTTGTGTTAGCCAGTACTCCTGTGCGTGGAACCTGCCCTGGAGTGTAGTGCTACAGCCTAACAGGCATTTGCTGTTGCTTTCTGCTCAGAATCGTACTGCCTTCATTAGCTGCAGTGGGACTCAGTGCCTGGGATAAAATCCGTCCCCCTACCCGCTGAGTTCCAAACACACCTCAGCTGTTCCCTCTCTTGACATGATTTATCTTTTACTCGTTCATTTGTTGGCTTGCTTCCTCTTCTTCCTTATTAGGCCAAAGATTCTAAGGGCAGTTTGGACCTCCAGATACTAGACAACGCTTCCTTCACAAAAATAGTAATCTATGGCAGGACAGTTGCATTGCAAACCATCCCAAGATGCCTGTTACTGCAGCCCAAAGAACGAGCAAGAAAACAGGGTGACATACAAATGTGACACAAGCAAAGCGTGGCGGTCCTGTTCTGGATATCTTGGCTCAACGCTGAGGTAACTCTGGCAGAAGCAACACTGCCTCCTCCTGCGGCTGGCGAAGTGTAAGGCCCCTGGCGTCTCTGATTTGACGCCGCAAGCCACCTCCAGAGGGCGGGGTCCATTTTGACGTCGCTCCACAGCACGCAATTAGCAAGCTGAGAGGTCAAATTGCCCGTGCAGGAGGCTGGTGCCTATCTAGATCTATGATTGGCTGATATTGAGGGCGGGGAAGGAGCCTTGCAGGGCACCAACTGGCTAGTGTTGCTGTCAATCATTAGAAACCGACTCCTTTGGGTCTCCATTTGACCAGCTGCAGCTGAAAATTTCGAGAAATTCCAGGAGTGGAGAAGATTGTGGCTTCCTTAATTTCTTGCTCTGGAGATCTGAATCAATAGAGAAGTCGGTCTTATGTACCATCCAAGAAAGCCTTTCCTTTCTTTCCATTAGCCAATTAAGAAATTTAGAGACACAAAACCATCACGAGGTAAGAGCCTGTGGAGTTCAAGTCGCTTATTCTACTAGGTTGTTGACGAGAATCTATTGGCAGCCCCTGCAATGGAGCTTTAAGGGAGGAGGTCTCCCGGGAAGGCGGAGGTGAAATATGACCCGCATCTCTCCGGGCTATACGTTGCGCCCTTTTTCTCGAGGTGGAGAGCAGCTGCTCCCGCCTAGGCCCTCTGGACCCAATCGGCCTTGAACTTGACCTGGAGCTGGAAGTGAATGCCTCGGGAGCGAGGCTAGTAGGATGGGCAAAGCCCTGTGATGGATGGAGAAAGTGAGGAAAACAGAAGCCACCCTGGATTCCCTGCAGCGAGCCCCCCCCCCTCCCCGCCCCGCCAGGTGTGCCCCAGCCGGAGAGAGCAGGCGTGGCCACCGCGGGATCTGTTTTCCGGGTGGGAAGACTCGGGATGCCTAGAGATCTGCTGTCTACCCCGGCAGAACAGTGTTGTCCTGCCGTGTCCCCCTTCGGTCAAGGCCAGCAAACCAGCCTGTCCAGAGGGGCTTGTAAAGAATTGGTGTGGAGAAGCATTGTGGAGCCCTGGTGGTTTGGATCTGAGCGCTTGTGTTTTGCTTTGCTAGGAGAGCTCTGTATCTTAACGCCATGTAGTGCTCATTTTCTCAGCCGCTTTCTGTAGATGAGAGAATTCATCCGGAGGAGACAAAGCATGGGACTCTGGGTAGAAACAGCTAGGAAATTTCGAGTCTCGAAAGTGTTTTCGTTGTAGGAGCTGCAGGAATAGTAACAGCAAAGCCCCCCACCCCGAGCCGCGCGCCAGCCTGGTAGAGATGTCACTTCTGCAGGACCTGTACTCCCTGGGAGAAAACCTGGAGGTGACCTGAGATCTGCTGGGCTGCGCGGAAGGGAGGGTGTTGTCCCCATAGTGTGTTGGAGCTTCTAGAAATTGGAAACCAACTCACTACTATATGACAAATGTCATTAAATATGGAAGCTTTGGATAATGAGTTATTGTTTATAATGTTTTCCTTGCAGTCTGAGTCTCCTTTTCTTTGACAACAGCAATATCCCCTTTCAAAGAATCGAGTAATAAGTACTTTTTAATACCCTCTCAGTTCACGTTTCTAAGCAGACGCTCACATACAACCGAAGAAGTCATTTACGGTTTTGTTTTCTTCTGTAAACTAATACATTTTCTCCCCCCCCCCCCCCCCCCCGCTCCCAAAAGGAGATAAAGACATTACGAGTGCATATATTCTAAAGTGCATTTCGGAGGTTTTCAGATAATTTTAGTTGTTCATTGGGATGCACTTGGTTTTTGTTGGAGATGGTGGTAGAGAAATTTGAAGTTTAAGAATATTAAAAATCGGGCTGGTGATGTGTCTCGGCCCCTAAGTGTGCCTGCTGCCACGCCTGCCGCTTGAATTCTAGCACCAGGAGAAGGTGCACCTACAAGGTGACCTCCGAGGCTTGAATTGGCATGCACGCCCCTCCCCCCCCCACACATATAAATATATATTTACCTGTGTTTCCATTATGGGAAGATAACAAAGTGCCACTTTAGTTATTTCACAGGCTTCCTAGAGGGAGAAAAAAATCTAAGCCTTTTCAGTAATGCCGATTACCAGAACTCCAGTTGATTCTGCCAGGTGCTTGTGTAACATGGTAAGAGTAAACTTCTCTTTGGAACTGTTTTTGACATTCAACAGCAGTTGAACTCAAATTCCCAGTGCCAATACCTGCTCTTGAGACAGTGCCTCCTTTTTCCATAAATAAAGTTGAACAGCTCTGGGAGTTAAACTGCTCAGCAAGTATAAAATTGGAGAAATACGCAAAGTAAAATTGGTGCAGTAGTCTTGCAGTTGTATATGTGGGTCCTTGTGCTATGAAATCAAATGATGATTTACGAAGTTTACAAGGCAGATGCAGTTTTCACTCCTGAGGTCTTTTGTTGTTGTTGTTGTTGGGACCAGGTCTCAAGTAGCCCAGACTGGTCTTTAACTCCTGATTCCCCCACCCCCCAACTGTTGAGAATCCACAGGGTGGACCACCATTCTGAGAGTCTTTGGCCTGAGATGGCTGCTCTGGAAAAGTGGGATTCACAGGTGCTGTCTCGCAGCTTCTTTAACATTTTTGGCTGAGATTTGAGAGTCTTGCTAGGTGAAATTACTTACACAGGGATAACTTTGTTCTAACATTGTAATTTTAGTTATTTACTCCTTTCTTTCCTGTCAGTTTTAAAGTATCAGGTTGTAGAGGAAGGTAGGGAGAAAGGTATAGTCACACAAATAATTGTGGAAATGGTGGAAAAGGCATATTTTCAGGCATTTGTTTGTAATAGAGTACATAGCTAGAATGCATTTTTAATTTTGTGCATGATAACATTTTAAAGACTGATGCGATTAAATTGTGATACATACATTTTTGTTTTGAGAAATAATAAAGAATTTGAAATAGTTCAGGCAAGAGTCCTTTTTTTCCACTTATATACAATTATCAATATATTTTAGATTGATTATATTGTATATCTAGGATTCCAAGCAAATTATGTATCTTTATTTTCTTAGCGTAGTTTAAAGTTTATGTATTGTTAGTAGACTACATCATCTGTATTTGTGTAATTGCCTTGTATTCCTTTAGCTTTTCTGGAATATTTTTGGGTAGTAAAAGGAATGAAGAATGATTTCTCTTTGAAAGATTACATACAATTGTTTAAATGGTTTACTAACATAAATTAGCTTAGATTTCTAATCCACGGATTGGCATAATTCTCCCTGATTAGAAATAGCTTGCCAAGTAACTGCTTCTTAGTCAAGAACCTGATAAGCTTATCTCATATGAGGGTTGCTCCTTGGACAAAGAAAATGCTGAGGCTTCTGTCAGGCTGTTCTCTACTCTGTTTAAAGGAACTTTTTTTTTTTTTTTTTTTTTTCCTGTTTTTGTTCTAAGTGTTTGTGGTCTTTCACAGATCTGTTCAGCTCCCCTCACCTGCTGTTCAGTTAATAGTCATTTCTGCAGGCATTCCAAGACTTCTGGGGCAGTTTTTTCCAAACATGAAGCAGCAGAGATCATTCTGGTTAGATTTTTGAATTGAGGATTTTGTGCATGCTAAGCACTGGCTTTGTCATTAAGTTGCACTACTCTACAGGTTTAATTGAAACTTATCGCTTGGGAACACAAGTTGCCTTTGAGGCTCTAAAAGAGATCTGTGTGGTTTCGTCTTGGCATAGCTGTTGAAAAAGGAACCACTTGAATTTCCTACTATAGGTGGCACCTAGTTCCTTAGCACTGAGGGTCCAGCTGTGTAGCTGCTCACACTGAATCTCTGACAGCAAAATGCTCTCCAGCAAGTGTTTCTCTACAACTGCCTTGCTAATTTCCTAAAGTGGCATTGTTGAAAATGTGAGGGAAGGCCAAGTTGATGGTAAATATTAGTTTATATAGGTCAAAGAAATTGTCTACTTTTACTTTATCTTATTACTCAATAACATATCTTGTCGGTTTTTGTTCTCTGCTGAGAATGCAGTTGTGTCCATGTCCTTTCTCCCTCACCCCAAGACAAGGTTTCTTTGTGTAGCCTTGGCTGTCCTGGACTCGCTTTGTAGACCAGGCTGGCTTGGAACTCACATCTATCTGCCTGGCTCTGCCTCCCTGAGTGCTGGGATTAAAGGTGTGCACTACCAGGCCCAGCTTGCAGTTGTGTTTATCATTGATTTTTATTTATTTTTGAGTGTTAGAAACATAAAAGGAGAACAACAGTATCAAGCAGAGCTGTTTTAAAACTTGAATCATTTGTCCGCTGTCATGTAACTCTAAAGTGGTGCATGCCACCATTGGAACTGGCTTATTTTGCTAGGCGATATATACATGAACCAATTTACATTGACCGTGCTAATATAAAAAAGCAAAGTTTAGTAGTTAATAGATCATAAATCTCAGATCTGACATCTGTAGCACACTCCATCTCCAAGGCTCAGAGACCATCTCAGAAAAGGAAGTGGAAAGATTGTAAAAGCCAGAAGTCACTGGTAAAAACAAGGAACAAGAGTATATGAGTCTTCAGTACATGCCAGAAGAGTATAAGAGTCTCCTGTATATGACAGACCTGCTGGACTCAGGAACTCAGAGCAGCTATAGGCTCTTGCACAAGAGCCAGTAGCATTCGAGTATGGAGTGTGAAGGGTATGTGAGTCCCCAATCCCAACTGAGAAACTATGGACTTGGCCTCTGGGAGAGGGGCAGTCAGTTTAAGAGTGTGGCTCCTGGTAGGTCAGTTGTGTCCTAGTCAATGACTCCACACCCAGGAGTACTTAGGCAGCTCAAATTGGAGTTGACTTTTTTTTTAGTGGAGGGGGGTAGATAGCAGGGTGGCATTTGGAAGAATTAATACCAAGGGTTGGGGTAAATATGACAAAAATACACTATATATGTGTATACACACACACACATTTTGTTTTGTTTTGGTTTGAGACAGGATTTTCTCTGTGTAGCCTTGGCTGTCCTGGACTTCCTTTGTTGACCAGGCTAGCTTTGAACTCACAGAGATCTGCCTCCCTTTGCCTCCCAGAGTGCTGAGATTACAGGCATGCACCACTGTACCCAACTTGTATGAAATTCTTATTGAATAAGAATTTTTAAAGCAAAAAGAAAATTCTGATCCAAATGTGCGACTTTGTTAAAGCTTGGCTGCTCTTTGAGTACAGAATTATTATAAATATTCTATTGCCCATCTGTTTTCCTATTTCCATCCTTAGGAGAGGTTGATTTACATTATCTTTTCCTCAGAACAACTGAGTGTGTGAAGAGAGAATATTTGCTTACAAAGTGTGGCCTGCTAACCAGCATTTGTAAGATCACAGCTGATTCGGAGTGTACAATATCTTACTTCATACTAGCTGAATCAAAATGTTTAGTTTTAACAACATCCCAAAGCAATAGCTGGTTAAATCGGAGAAGCATGTGTTATTTGTATGAGCATATTGTTAAATGTTTATAGAGTTCAAATACTGTAAGGGGAGTAGGTAAATGTTTTTAAGAATATGACAGGGTAACACACACACACACACACACACACACACACACTCTCATTTAGACTCTTTATGGTTTTTGTTTCTGGTGTCTGGTGATACATTAGCAGTGTTCTGAATTACTGACTGTGACTTTGTCTTTGCCCCCACCACTAGGTGTATCAGTTTTCGTCAAGAAATTCAATTTTTGTGCTTTGTCTTTCACTGTGACTGGGGCCTTTGGAGCTACATTATGTTATCAGCAGCCTTAATTACTTTGGTGAGAAGTGGTGGGAACCAGGTGAAGAAGAGAGTATTGCTAAGATCCTTCCTTCTGCAGGACAATAGGCAGGTGACTCCTGCCTGCTACACCTCCACTTCAGAGCCCAGGAGTTCTCGATTTGATCCAGACGGAAGTGGGCAGCCAGCCACTTGGGACAATTTTGGGATCTGGGATAACCGCATTGATGAGCCAATTCTGCTGCCACCTAGCATCAAGTATGGCAAGCCAATTCCCAGAATTAGCCTGGAGAATGTGGGCTGTGCCTCCCTCATTGGCAAACGGAAAGAAAATGAAGATCGATTTGGGTTCGCACAGCTGACAGAGGAGGTGCTATACTTCGCAGTGTACGATGGGCACGGGGGACCTGCAGCTGCTGACTTCTGTCACACGCACATGGAGAAATGTGTTACGTATGTATGACAGCCTTCGCTTCACACTTCCCCTAGACTTTCTGTTGAGATGTTCTCCCTTTGGCTGGGACATTAAGTATGGACCAAATTACCCAAGTGGTAATTCATCAGCGAGCAGTAGTCAACATGACATTTCTAACTGGTGATTATAACCATTTCAAGTAAATTATAAAGTACAAAGATAACTTGTGGAAATTTTTACGTGTGCATGTGTGTCTGTGTGTATGTGTGTGTACTCATCTGTGTGTGGAGGTCAGGGGTCAACATCAGTGACTTCTTTTATCATTCAATACCTTACCTTTTGAGATAGAGTTTCTTGCTGTACCTGGAACTCACATTTTTGGCTAGACTAGAGAGCTCATGAGCCATGGGGTTCTATGTAAAGCTACACATTGTCTTTATATGGGAGCTAAGAATCTGAATATAGTCTTCATGTTTGTACAGCAAACACTTTACCCATAGAGCTAATCCCCTGGTTCTGAATAAATATTTGCCCTAATCTGCACAGGTAAGTTTGCGTATTGTCTTAGTTACTTTTCAGTGAAGAGACATGGTAACCAAGGCAACTTATAAAAGAAAGTTTACTGGGGGCTTGCTTACAGTTTCAAAGCATTAGAGTCCATGACTGTCATAGTGGGGAATATGATAACAGGAAGATGGGCACAGTGCTGGAGAAATAGCTGAAAGAGTATATCCTTATATCCTACCTACAAGCAGGAAGCAGAAAGGAAGAGAAAGAGAACCTGCTGAGAATGGTGGGGTTTTTTGGAATCTCAAAGTCCACCCTTAGTGACACAGCTCCACCAATAAGGCCACGCCTATTAGTCCTTTCCAAACAGGTCCACTAGTCTGGGAACAAGCATTCAAATATACGAGCCTATGAGAGCCATTCTGACTCAAACCACCACACTTCATACATTTTTGAGAACCATACTGTTGCTAGAATTAAAAAAAGAAGACAGTGTGGCAGTTATGGTCATGGACTATTTTTTTTAACCTTCCTGTGTATTGCTAAAGGTAGTTTTTCAGTTGATTTTTTTTTTTTAACATGATTTACCTAATTCTACAGACAATCTCAGTGATTTAAGTCACTATGAGGCACCTCATAGCCCATTAGGGTCGCAGTACTGAAAATTATTTAAGAGCAAGGTTGTGGGAATTGTGTGATGGCTTGGAGGATAAGGTGCCTCCTGCCAAGCCTGAAACTGAGCTTGACTCACATAATGGAAGGAGAAAACTAACTGTGGAAAGGTGTCTTCTGGCCTCCCCGCACTTGCTATCACAACATAGGGGTGTACAAAATAAATAAATAAAAGTGTAATCAGCATTTTACAAAATGAGAGACTTGGAATTTGTTGTTTTCTTTATTTTGCATGTGAAGCGGAGCCCCTATCACTTAACTGTATCCTCAGACAGCTGGTTTGTTATTTTGAGATAAAGTCACATATCCCAGGCTGCGCTAGACCTGACTATACAGACCTGGATACCTTGAACTCCCAGTCCTCCGGGGTTCAAGTCTTAGTGTTACAGGCAGACCACCAGCACCACTTCCCCAGGCTTATATTTTGATGCTGTTTAAAAAAAAAAAAAAAGCCTCAAATTTGATATAGCTCAGTTAGTCCTAGCATGAGAGAGGCCTGGGTTGCATCTCCAGAACCATATACCCAGTCTGAGCCTCAGCCCAAGAGTGTCACAGTTCGTCATACTTAGCACCTTCAAAGATCAATAAATGTTCCTTAATCCTTGGGTCTTCAGCAAAAGTGCCTGAGAGAAAAGCCATGAGGTCTGTTGTGTAGAGTGAGAACTGGAAGGTTGACTATGAGGAGCGAAACTATTGCAAAATGATCGCAGCTTCCTTTCCTCTCCACAAAGGGATTTGCTTCCTCAGGAGAAAGACTTGGAAACTGTGCTGACCTTGGCCTTCCTAGAAATAGATAAAGCCTTTTCCAGTCACGCACACCTGTCTGCTGATGGTAAGTGGCATGGCACTCCTGGAGCCTGGAGGATGGTGGGTAAAGAGAAAACAAAGTCGGCCTTTAGTGCTACAAGTTTTAATGCACATTCATTTGTGGGGAGTTTTTTTGAAATGTGTTTAGAGTCTGGGCTAATGTCAGTGTCATACTTTATGTTAAGTAAAAACCTTTCAGAAGGGGAAACTCCAAAATGGTTCTGTTACTGAATTTTAATTTTAAAATGTTTCAATCTACTTTATTTATATTTCATGGAAAAGTAGTCCATACTAAGATTCCATCCCTGCCCCTCCCCCCTTGACCACACCACCAATGCAAACACTATGGGACAATTACATCTGCTAGGTTGATAACTGTTCGTCATTTACTATAAAAGGAGATAGGGGTTCAGAGAGATGGTTCAGTGGGTAAAGCCACCTGCCCCCGGCTTCACCACCTGAGTTCTGAAGAAGAGAAGTGATCTCCATATGTTGGCTTCTGACCTTCACACATATGCTGTGGCATGTCCACACACACTTAAAAACAGATACATGCATGCACACACAAATAAATGAATATGTAATCTTTGAAAAGACGGTATTAGGAGTAGGTCCTCAATATGATAGAAAATGGCTAGTTGGCATCCATGTTTACAGTCAGGATGGAGATATTTGTTTGCTTGGTTTTGTAGCTTCCCTGTGGCAACTAGTGAACAGTATATATGTTTTTAAAGGGACTGTTTCTAGTTTTAACTAAATTTATCAAAATAATTTCAGAAAATGTGTCACTTATTTTTTAGTTACCTCACCAAAATGGTGATAATAGTGTTAACTTTTAGACCTTATACAGCCATCGCATAATGTGTGCCTCCTGACTGACCGGAAATGAACTTGTGTTGGAATGGTGATCTTAGTTATGGCTTTTCCTTTAATAAGAAAAGTGCACCACAGAAATGCTGTTTTCAGTTGGATGGAAATTCTGTTTCACACAGAAGAAGTAGTTTCAACTCAAAGAAAATAAATGATTAGGTCAGATTAGGGCCTTGTTCACTTGCATATTTAATAACAGGAGCGAGGAAAGAGTGACACTGGGATAACTTAGTGTACCATTTAGGCATCATACCTCCACTCCCATGTCTATTGAACCCAGGGCCTTGAAACAGGCTGGGCCAGCAAGCTCTCTACCACTGAGCTACATCTCCAGCCCACTCTGGCTCATTATGAGATCTTATGTATCATTACTCCGCAGTAACGCTCTGTGGCTCATTCTTTCTCCATGTGTCTAAATATAAAGTTTTCACTTGATATATTATTTAAAATCATTTTGTCTTCTTCTTCCTTTGGCAGCAGGCCTCCCAAAGTTCCCCTTTTCTTTTTTAAGAGAGGTGTTAACAGAGGCTGAAATTTATAGCTTTTTTTTCTAATACATGAGGAGGAAGTGAAACACTTTCTCATTTGCTGGTTTGGGGTGGGGGTAGGGTTCAATAAGCAGCCATGGTTGGAACTGGCTGTTTAAACCAGGCTGGCCTCAAATTCACAGAGCAAGGAGCACACCGTTACACCCAGCATTTTCATAACAACAGTGGATCTAGTGTGTTCTTATCCATTACTAGGTTGGCTGTTGGTTTGGCTGCATCATCACTACAATGTTTATGGATGGTGGTGTCAGCATTGTGCCCTAGATGTTCTATAGACTACTTTATTTACTGCCCGTGTTTTATAGAACACAGTGTTCAAAAACACATGGCCAACACTAAAATTTATTAACCCTACAGTCAAGGTTTTTAAAAAGTTATCTAATCAGTGTTGGTGACTAAAACCATCAATATTAGACTTGGTGTCAAATTTTAAAACATTATTTTTTAATAATTATAATTCAGGAGACTTTGAATTTATAACATTTAACATATATACCTGAAAAAGTCTTTCTAGATTATTCACACAATCAAATAGTTAAAGAACTAAAATATTATTATTTCTAATAAAACAATAAGTTATATTGCTTAATTTAGTTGCTCTTTCATAATCTCAGAACTTCATAAAGCTGTCTTAAAATTTATTCTGCTTCTTGCACGTGTGGTGGGCACACGCCTGTAGTCCCAGCACTTGGGAGGCAGAGGCGGGCAGATCTCTGTGAGTTCCAGGCCAGCCTGGTCTACAAAGCAAGTCTAGGAGCCAAGGCTACACAGAGAAACCTTGTCTCAAGAAAAACAAACAAACAAACAAAAAACTAAAAAATTATTCTGCTTTCTTAATAATCATTTGCTTCAAAGTGTAAGAAAACAAGATAGGGTGATACACAGCGTGCCTTATTTAAAAAGTGTTATGACAGCTGCATTATGCACTGTTGTGCGTATTGTATGCTTTTTAAAAATCAGAGTTTGGGGACTATCTTAAAGATGTATGTACAGATGGCAAAAATCTGCCTATTGGCATTAAGAAATCTATTTATAAAACTATTAAAATTACTGAAGACAGAATACTGTTTGCTAGCTTTTTAGGATTGGGGTAAAAGAAAATTAGCTCTATCTCATGTAAGGTTTCAAAGTTATCCAAATTTAAGAAATTTAAGTTTTTATATCAAATAATGAACTGAGGCATTGTCAATATTTTAAAAGTAGATAGTTCTCATTTGGCATGTGTGTCTATATGTGAGAATGTGTGAGCATTTGTGTGTGTGTGTGTGTGTGTGTGTGTGTGTGTGTGTGTTTAGAGCCAGGGCTAGCTAGCAAGCATTCTATAGGACCACAGTATCCTCTCTACTTACTATCTTTACTATCTTTTTTCATTTCTTTACATCTGCCCTGCTTTCATTTTTGTTGAGCCCCTCTTATGAGATCAGGAAGTAGGGATTATTTTTTAATAGACATCATACATTCTAGACAAGTGTTCTACCCCTGAACTAGATCTCCAACTCTTTTGACATCACCTTCAAATTTTAAGTTCAATTTATATCACGTGTTTTTTACATGTAATGAAACCAGCCAATTAGTTAAAATATGTCATCACTTTATTTTTTACACATAGCCACTTAAATGGTTGGCAGAAAACACAGGTTATAATGCTGTATCCATAACTACCTGAAGTGTACGGTGCTGATGCTTTGAAAGCATCAACATTCCTAAGGACGAAGGATCAGAGTGACAAGAATTACTCAGTGGGAGGAATTAATGGGCATCATTGTGAGCTTCAAAATCTATGTTCTTTACATGTGATGTTTTGTAGGGAACTAAACTCCAAAGTAACAAGAACTGTAAAGGCAAATTCATTTTATGTGCTGGGATTGAACCCAGGGCTATGTGCATGCTAAGCAAGCACTCTGCCACTGAGGTACACCTCTAGCCCTGTGTAGTATTTTTTTTAATAACCCTCTTATCTGGTGGTCATCAGATGTGAACAGCATTGAAAAGTTGTTCTTATTGTGCTGCTACTGCTTTGGATTGTTAATTTGATATTGTTATTTGTGAATCATACATGTCAAGAGTTCCATTTTTAATAAATATCGCTGCAATATTGGTTTGTATGGATTATTATTTACACAGCTTCATAATCACTGGGGTTGGTTGGTAGATTTCTCTTTCTGTTGCTGTAATTATTTTTCTTCTGTTCTGTTGACTGCAACATCAGGGAAAGAGAGCAGAATCACTCATTTATGATTAAATAACATTATAAACATGAATTATTATTTAAGATCTACACTGCCTTTGTGTAGACAAGTTTAAGCCATCCTACTGGAAACAGTTTTCCATGCTAAAATCCTGCATTTCATGCTATGAACAAATGTCTTATGGCCTGTTTTTGGTATAGGAGGTACTTTTGATTGCTTCTCCATGTATATTGAAACCCCAGTTAGCTGATGTATACTATCATTCATATACACCCTCTATGTTCTACTTATAAAATACAAATTATTTTGTTTAGAAGACAGTTCTAATATTCCTATAAATCAAATTTGCAATGCATTTTATGTCTCAATAAAAATATTGAATTTGCTGTGTTCAAGATCAGCTATTAACTCAGTGTGTATCTGTGTGTCAGTGTCAGTCTATTTTGGTACAGAGGCACATGTACATAATTTTTTTCTGTCTTGGAGCCATAACACTATAAAAAAAAGTTAGTCTGGTAGAAAGAAAAATAGATTAACAACCAGATACCATTAACTACTGATACAAGATAGTATTAACTCCTTAGCTACTGGGTTTTGAAATCATTGATCTGGCAGCTCCTGAAATGTTATGTGATTTGCTAGTGAAATTTTCATCAGTAGAAACCCTACCCCTTATCTTGCAGCTCTTTTTCTGCTCTCCCTTGTGTTGCAGGTTTGTTATGTTTGAGCATGATTTCTGGGTGAAATTCCCATTCACCTCTGTGCGTGTTGTTTGTGGCAAAGAACTACTGTGCCTGCTCGGCAGCTCTGAACCTGGAGCCTGTGGACACTCTATGCTGGGCTTCAGTGCAAAGAGAGATCTGCTTAATTTTGTCTCAGGTGAAGGAGTCTAGCAGTTCCTAGTCTGAACTTCTGGAAGGGTCCCATGTTCTCCTTGTCCCATTCACTGAGATGACTTGCAGTAGAAATTATCCAGTGAGTGTCAATACTCACTGAAAGAAATCTTAGTTTTATAGTTTTGTTGTTAGGCCAGATAGTGAATGTTTTACCTCTGTGTTAAATGTTAAATGAAAATAAGTGCTGATTCACTATTTATATTCTTCAATGCACAGCCAACCAGAATCAATGCTTAGTTTTGAAACTTGCCCCACGTATCCTGAGATGTTGAAACTGTAAAGGTGAATTGATAAAAACCCAAACACTTTTAAATTCAGAGCTGAGACAGCTGGGAACTGCAACCTAAACTGGAATTGCATTTATAAAATGTTAATTTTTATCACTCTAAATTAAAGACCACTTTATAAAAAGCTGTTGCTGACAGCTAACATGAAGAGGACAGGATCCCTTGGACTGGTAGCATTTAATAAAGGCCTGTGTTCTCTATTCTGCCTTTTAAAATCATTTGAGAATAATATAGTTGATTGAACTGTTAAGATTCCATTATGGTATAGTCTTTTGACTAATCTCAAGTTGAAAGCTATAATGCTTGTAATATAAGCATCACTAGTGTTTATATTAAGACATTTAGGTCATTCACTGACATATCTTAGCATTGTTGTGATAACAGTGCTTTGACCTAACGGTTCCAAAATCAAGAGATAAATAGGAAGATAGTGCAATGTAGATGCTGTTTCTCAGTAGAGTAAAGTTAGCACAACTACAAAAGAGCAAGTAGACTTTATCCATGCTTTTGCATTTTATTTTTCAGATTAAAGCAGGCATTTTTATTTATGACTGGAAAATGAATTAAAATTCATTATTGGTGGACTTTTAAAAGTTGTCTTTAAAAAAAATCTTGGAAAGACTAGACTCAAATCAATTACAGTTTCCTAAATCAACATGAAGGGTAAAAGATTACATCTTTGAATGATCACAAGGCATTCTACAAATATTATTACAAAGAAATACAGTCAAGTGATTGGATATGAAATTTCTATCACAAAATTAGAAAATATCAAATTAAAAATTTGGCAGTACTTGAAAAAATTAACAGTATTACTAGAGATAATTCCTGCTTTAAATAAGTTATTTCTCAGTTTCTTCTACTTTGCTATATTGTTTTTTGGTTCATAGTATTATAGTATTTCCACTTTCCACAAGGCTCAATGCACCTTAATTATTTTTAATAAGTGGTAAACAACATTGAACAGATGATGTTAGAATCAATCAAAGGAAGACACACAAATGCAGTTTGCTTGGGTAGAAAAAAGAATGGTACGGCCTCAAGACTAGTGACATTGGGCTTTACTTGTTGGCAGATAATGCACATTGCTGACATGCTCAGGGCTGCATGATTTGTGGCTGTCTAGGCTGGTCTGCTTCTGGCTATAGATTCTGTGACTGGATATTTTTGGAGGTAATAATGTTAACTATGCCATGTTTACAGGGAACTGGAGTGAATTTCATCATCTACTATTCAGCTCTATTAATCTAAGGGTGAACGTAACTTCTCTTCAGGGGTAGAGGAAGCAAAGATACCAGAAAAAGTTTGGGGCTTTGCGCTAGGAAGAGCGTGTGTGTGTGTGTCTGTGTGTGTGTGTCTGTGTGTCTGTGGTTGTGTGTACACTTGTAAACTGACATGATTTTAGCAGGAAGAATGTACACTGTAGTACTTGAGCAAATGGTCTGTGCTTTGTATTTCTCTCTTCACTAGTAGCTGGTACTACTTTTACTAGACAGGAGTAAGGTATGGAAAAGAATAACCCAAATCTCATGATTACAGAAAAGACAGGTTCTGAGCAAATCGATCATCCTGTCATAACGGCCAGACTAGTGACATTTTCATGTTTTATTTTGACACCTGTTATGCACACAAAGGCATCATAATTAGAGTTTACATCAGCTCTGCTTTTTACACACAGACCATCTGGAAACACTGATGCTTTGCTCAGCAAATTAGTTTACCAACTTTTTTGTTTGCATGGAGCCTTGTTACTGAGTTAAGTAATTGTTTCTCTGCATGATCTTACTTACATAGTAGCATTACATTTGCATAGCTCTTCTTAAATTAGAATGATATTGTCCCAGCTTTAAATTATCATGCTGTTGTTTTATTTTGTAATAATGAATTCCATTTTTTAATATTTCTATCAATAATCGCTACTCTATTTTATGTTAGCAAGCCTCCTGACCTCTGGGACTACTGCAACGGTAGCCCTTTTGAGAGATGGCATTGAACTGGTTGTAGCCAGTGTTGGAGACAGCCGGGCTCTTTTGTGTAGAAAAGGAAAACCCATGAAGTTGACCACTGACCATACCCCAGAAAGAAAGGATGAGAAAGAAAGGTACTGTCACCATGACTAGCCATTCTATGGGGTGATAGCTATAGTTGCCATAGAAACCAAGTGTATAATTTTCCTCTCTGTGCTGGTATAAAACACAAGGGTCCCTTGCAAGCACTACTGTGCACAACCAATACCTCAGTGCAGATTTTCATGTTTTGATTGGGTTGGGTTTGTTGAGACTGAATCTTGCTGTGCAGCCCAGTTTGGCTTTCTATCTGTATCCTGCTTCCTTGCGCTGGGATTATCAGAGGTTGTACACCATACATGGCCTAAATTATTCATTTTTATTTTATTTGTTTATGGGCTTAAAAATTTTGGCATTTAAATTTTTGGACTGGCCTTAAACTCAAAATTCTTCTCAGCCTTCTCAAGTTCCTGGCTTATGGGTATATTATGATACACTAGTCTCTAAATTTCAGTTTGTTAAGTTGATATTTAAATCACTACCTTCATTTCCTGCACATTATTATTATTATTATTACTATTACTATTACTATTACTATTGATTTTACTTTTAACTAGGATCAAGAAATGTGGTGGTTTTGTAGCTTGGAATAGTGTGGGACAGCCCCATGTAAATGGCAGACTTGCAATGACAAGGAGTATTGGAGATTTGGATCTTAAAGCCAGTGGTGTAATAGCAGAACCTGAGACAACAAGGACTAAGGTAAGAAAGGTCAGGAACCCTGAATCATACAGAGAATGACTGGGGACTTGCCTCCTGTTGCTGGCAGGCCTGAAAGGAAAGATGTTTCTAAAGGGGGACTAATTTGTGAAGAATAAACTTTTTTATTAAGATACTTCTTTCTGGTCTGATGAGGGTGAAATCTTTGGCTTCTGTTTCCCCCTAGTAGAAGGACAGTGAAGCCCTTCCTTTACTAAAGCCTGCCATTCAAATTCATTGCCTTGTCTCAGCTCGGGAGACATTCCTTAGCTTGCCTTCCCCACTGAGCTCTAGTTAGCCACTTCTGCTTGTACAGCACAGTGCTTGGTACTCTAAGCTGACCCCAACATGATATGTATCCTGCTGCTTCCTTTTTTAGAGCTCTTGAGTCAGCACAGTAGAATGTGGCCTTCATCCATGGCAGGGCATGAATGTATGTAGTTTAAAGAAGGATTTCCAGTCTTAAAGCTATCTCACATTTATTTTATGAAACAAATGTGTATGTATAAGATTTAGTGTGTGACAGCCTCTGTTCAAGATAGAACTATCCTCACTTTACAAGGAAATAAAACAATAACAAGATCTAAAGCATATCAAGTGCTAAAAATATCCCATCCACACACACACATCCCTCTGCCACTGCTGCCACCAAGTAATAGAGGCAGCATTTAAATCTAGACTCAGCATTTGGCTGTCTGGCCTCTTTCTTGGTATTGCTAAGTAAAAGTTTATTTAAGAGTCTCAGCATCTGCTTTGATACACTGTTGGGTAGAGTCTTTCAGAGGCCCTCTGTGGTAGGCTTCTGTCCTGTTTTCTTCTTCTTCCAATGCCCATCCCATTTGTCTTTCTGAGTGAGGATTGATCATCTTACCCAGGGACCTCCTTCTTCTTAGCTTCTTTAGGTGTACAGATTTTAGTATGTTTATCCTATCTTATAGGTCTAGTATCCACTTATAAGTGAGTATATACCGTGTGTGTCTTTCTGCTTCTGGGATACCTCACTCAGGATGATCTTTTCTAGATCCCACCAGTTGCCTGAAAATTTCATGGTTTCCTTGTTTTTAATTGCTGAGTAGTATTCCATTGTGTAAATGTATTCCATTGTGTAAATGTACTACAATTTCTGTATCCATTTCTCTGTTGAGGGACATCTGGGTTGTTTCCAGGTTCTGGCTATTATGAATAAAGCTGCTACAAACAAGGTTACAAAGTGCAGGGAATACTATGAAAGAAGGGGGAGATAGTGGGACCTGGAGAGGACAGGAGAGCACAAGAAGGAGAGCAACAGAACCAAGAAATCTGGGCATAGGGGTCTTTTCTGAGACTGATACTCCAACCAAGGACCACTCATGGATATAGCCTATAACCCCTGTTCAGATGTAGCCCATGGCAGCTCAGTATCCAAGTGGGTTCCCTAGTAAGGGTAACAAGGACTATCTCTGACACGAACCCATTGGCGGGCTCTTTAACCACCCCCTACCAAGGGGGCAGCAGCCTTGCCAGGCCACAGAGGAGGACAATGCAGCCAGTCCTGATGAGACCTGATAAGCTAGGGTCAGATGGATAGGGAAGAGGATCTTCCCAATCAGTGGACTTGGAGAGGAGAAGGAGAGGAGATGAGGGAGGGAGGGTCGGATTGGGAGGGAATGAAGAAGGGGGCTACAGTTGGGATACAATGTGAATAAACTGTAATTAATTTAAAAAAATAAAAATTAATTTTAAAAAAATTTATCCTGAGTAATACCACTTAGCTGCATTTTCGGTTTGCCAATGAACTCTTACACAGATGAGCACTCTGCAAAAACAGGTACAATTTCCAAGTTACTGAGTCATTTGAAGGCATGGTCTAGTTTGTGATCATATTTGTTTGTGTCTGGTTGCAGCTCTACCATGCTGAGGACAGTTTCCTGGTCCTCACCACTGATGGGATTAACTTCATGGTGAATAGTCAAGAGATCTGTGACTTTGTCAACCAGTGCCATGATCCTAATGAAGCAGCTCACGCAGTGACTGAACAGGTAACTTAGCAGAGCTTCCAGTGAAAAATTCCCATAGAGAAGAGGCTTAGAGACAGCCCAGATATATGGTGTTTTAGCTGGAGTAGTACAGTGAATTTGATTCCTTATTCTGTAAAGTTTCTCAGTAGCAAATTTTTACAGTCTATACATCAAGGAAACATGAAGCTTACCTTCTAACTTCGAACACAGGTTGAATGAGAGTAACAGCATGATAAGTTATAATCTATCTACATGTGTCAACATAAAGCAGCGCCCTAGCAGTTATTTACTTATTTATGTATTGTGTGTACTTAGCTTTGCTTTGTGGTTTTTTGTTTTTGTTTTTGTTTTTTGAGACATTCTCGTGTAGCACAGGCTGGCCTTATATTTGCACAGTAGCTGAGGCCAGTCTTGAATTCCTGATCCTTTTACTTCCACCTTTCATGTTCTGGGATTATAGATGTGAACAATACCTGACAGACCTTACTTTAAAAATGTTACTTGCAAAAAAAAAAAGTTACTTGCTTAAAGTTAGTGGGCGTTATCATAATGCATAAATTATTGACTTCCCACCTAGTCTGTCCACGTTAAGCAGTACAAAGAGGCCTTTGAAATGGAAAAAAACAGGCTCAAGTACATGGATGAATGCATCTTTTTTTAAAAAACTCAATTACCCATCTTGTAGATACGTGTACTTCAGTTTATACAGGCAATAATATTTATGATAGTAAAAAATATTTGTGATTATAATAAAAAAGAAGATATAATGTTTTATATTACTTCTCTCCCATAATGTTTTTTCCAATGAGGAAGTTAATGTTTACTCTTTTATGGAAGGGATCAAAGATACTCTTTTTTTTTTATATTCAATCATTTTATTTTTTCCTTTTTATTTATTTATTTAAAGATGCTCTTTTAGATAGATGGGAAATGCAAACCTTTTTGTATCTATTTGTGTATGTCACTTTTTTTCAGAATTATCTTGTTAGGTTAAATTATTTTTTCATTATTGAGTGTGTGTGCATGGATGTGCGTGTATGTGTGTTTGTGCACACTGATGTTGTGGTGCTTGTCATGATGTCAGAGGGCAAGATGGAAGAGTTGGTTCTCTCCTTGCATCATGCAGGTCCAGGGCATTGAGCTCAGGGTAGTGCAGCTTGATTTGAAGGCACCCTTCCTCTGAGTCACCTCACCAATCCTTCTCTGTTTAAATTTTGAGAAACAGCCTTAGCAAAGGTTGTGCATGCCTGTAGTTCCGGCTACTCCGGATACCAAGAGAAGAAGGTTCCTTGAACACAAGAGTTTCTACTGTCCTGAGTAACAGAGAGAACTCATATTTTCCTCCTCTCTTAGTAAAAAAAAAAACAGAAAATAAAAAAGAATGAAGGTCAAATCACCCCTTGAAAATACTTGCAAATCTGCAGTTTGGATTGTGCTTTCTGTAGTTTGTTTCTGTAGTTTGTTTCTATGATGTATTTGTGTAGTTTCTCTGAATTTGGAGACATTTTTGGCTAATTTGATAGGTGGTAAAACAAATTTATTTTTCAGTACTGGGAACTGAACACAGGGCCTCTTGGATGCTACAAAGACTCTACTACTGAATGAAGTCCAAAGCCCCGAGAAAAAGAGATTTTACTGTTTAGCTTGGTATCTTTGTTAGTGGAATTAAATTCTAGTCTTTAATAATTTATATTTCTTATTTGTTTTTCTTCTCTGCCTATTTTATTACCATTTTAATGGTTATTTTAACAACTGTCTATTAAGTATAATGTTGTAGAAAATATCTAGGTTATTAATGTTTACTATTATTACTGTGGTTATATTTAACCCACTACCATATCAATAAAAGACACAAACCCCTGACAGATTTTTAATAAGCCGTATGTCATGGGGGGCTGGGCAGAAATTAACCCCCTAAACCACTTCATTATTTTCCAGTTACACATCACATGTCATTTGCTGTAATCAATCCTATCTGGGCTACTTCTCATCCAAAATAATATACATACTTGTACATGCTTTTCATCTGGGCTGCTTCTCTCCAACCATACCCATCCTCAGAGTAAATTCCTCCTGGCCATGTGGTTCTTCTTTATGGTAACCCATGGAGATCCCCCCTTCCTTCCCCTCTCTCTTCCCTGTCTTTCCTCTTCCTGTGACCTTCTGTCTTCTGAGCCCTCGAACCTTGGCCATGCCTACCTCATTTCTGCCCTGCCCAGGTGTAGGCATTATATAGATCAAACAGGGATTATTTGGCAGCAAGGTTACACAGCAACATTTGGGGTACATAATCTGCTTATGAAACAGTAAAAATCTTGGGAGGCAGTGCCAAGCAATTAACATCTGATTATACGGTGGCTCTAGATCAATCTCCATGGTATAATGGTACTTGACACATTTTAAACGAGGTTTTCGCTTACAATTTGTTTGTAAACCTTGTGTATTTCTTGAAGCTATTCATACCAAATATCTTTGTCAATTCTTTCTGTTACAGTTTTGGCTCCAGGCTGTTTGATCTGTTTGATGCTAACTGCAACCCTAAGCACTTCTGAATAGTACTGATAACACTCAGCTATTTGAACTGGTCCCTAAAAGGGACTTATAATCCTGCTGCAGACAATTTAATTTATGCCCATTTATCTGTCATAGAAGGAATATTATAAGCATTTTTCTCATAATTTTGTACATAGCCATTTTTGAGATTTTAAAATTTAAGTTAGCATACAAAGTGGTAGGTTTCTAGCAGTGTTTCCATACAAAGATGTTGTTATATTTTGTTCTTTTTTATCCCTCTCCCAAGCTCTTTAATTTCTTGGGCTACATTCCTACAAGCAGTTTTGTTGATAAGAAATAGCACTTATTAAGGCTTTTCCATGATTTGTGCCATGCTAAGGGTTTCATGTGTGTCCTCTTTGGAAGGCGCTCAGGTCACACCTCAGTTCACAGGTGGTTTCGTTGCCAAGATTACTAGATTGGAAGATAAGAAATATTTGGTTATGTTATTCATGTACAGTTAATAACCATCAGATATGTGGATGCAGGGTGAAACCATCATAAAACTTGTGAGATAACTGTATTTGTTAACTGTAGAACCAGTTGGCTTTCCAGAGAAAGGATGCTGTCTGTTTGCACAGAAGTCCAATGACTCCAGGTACTTTTCTCTTCTTCCCTGCACCTGCAGGCAATACAGTATGGTACTGAAGATAACAGCACTGCAGTGGTGGTACCCTTTGGTGCCTGGGGAAAATACAAGAACTCTGAAATAAGCTTCTCATTCAGCAGAAGCTTTGCCTCCAGCGGACGATGGGCCTGATAGTCAGCTTCAACTCGGGTTATCAATGGGCATATCAAGTACCTGGTAATAGCCAGAAAGTGGCCTGCACTTATTTGTCCTTGTGACGTAATAGATCCCAACACAGCATAAGCTTACCAGCCACAAACACAGTGGTATTGTCATAAATCTTCGTCAACATTATGTTCAACTGTATATGCTCAGTGTAAGTACCGTGATGAAGCTGTGAAGTCATTGTGTGTCTCTGCGCTGAGTGGGAGAAGAAGCTGGTTTTGTACACTTGATGACTGATAAATCTACGCATTTTGTTTGTGATACTAGAGATGAAATCTGGGGCTTTCTAAGTTTTAAGACTACCAGGCAGATCCAGTTTCTTTTTAGTAAAATTTGTTCTTTATTTATCTGGACAGGGTTTTCTGAATTTTGACAGCTAGTCAGTGTGGTACTTGCAGGTGTCTTTTCTTTCTCTTTGTTTAAAGTAGGTTTTCACTGGTTGGCCTTGGACTCCTAGATTCAAACAGTCTTCCTACTTCAGCTTCCTGAGTACCTGGGACTGCAGGGTGCTCCAACTTACAAGTGTTTTTTTGTTTGTTTGTTTTTGTTTTGTTTTTATCTTTAATTTTTTTTTTTTTCAGAGCAGAAGCAGCACAGATTTATTAAAGGAAAGTGAGAACCTACACCCAGGAGATGGGTGAATTCCAAGGGAGTAATACCCACAGTGTTATTTTTTAAATAAATGTACCAAGGAGTGAAAATGAAAACTAGGTTACTGTGTCTTATACTTTGGATCACTTACTAGGAAATTTAACCTTGAAAAAGAAACTTCTTCAGACAAAAGACATGGCTAATGAGTATGCATTTTTATAAACAGCTCTGTTTTGTATTTCAAATATTTCTCTCCTCTTCATTCTTATTCTTATGCAGTTAACTATGCTATGTAGCTGTAAGTGTTCCTTAGTCTCTGGAGAAGAATGTACTTGCTCTTTGGTTAAAACATATAAAGTGAAACACTGAAAGTGTTAATCTTGTATAAGTTGTTGTATGTTTTGTGTGTAGTATGTTTATATCACATTTTGTGTGCCCAGTAAGCAAGCTGGGTCATTTGTTGGTTAAGATAATTCTATAATGACTGATACTGCGATAGACATAGCTTGGAGTTTATGAGTTTGTGTCTCCATTTTCCTCATTTCTAAGGTTTATGCAAAAGAATAAATCTATTTAAAAGGACATTCAAATATGTCAGCTTGCTATGTAAATTAGGATTGTAAAGCCACACTCCTTTTTACAAAACTGTATGTAAATTTGCTGTTAAATTGTGAATCCCTGAATGTGTGTTTAGAATTAATCTATAGTTTATTTTCACAAGCTATGTAAATTTGGTTTCTTGTGATAAGTGTATATATGTATATTTTGAAGTAATATAAAATTAAAGGGAACAATCTTGTGCAGCCTTTATCAGGTAGCTTTAAATTATTGATATATTTGACCCTACGGACACGCCACAGATTGAGTGTCACATTTTCTGTAGTAAAGAATTGGTGGTTGTTAGTAGATAACCATTGTGGATTAAAATAGATAATGTGGGCCAGATGTGGTGACCTATACCTATACTCTCAGAATTTGTGAGGAGGAGGCAAGAGAATCAGATGGTGACTTTGAGATCAGCCCCAGCTACCTAGCAAGATCCAGAGTAGCCTCAGCCACAATTTGTCTGCCAAAACAAAATAACAACAAATGGCTATAAGAGACCTTCTATTGTGTGTACTTTATGTGGATAACCAAAGAACAGAAATAGCCACATTGTTTTATGGTAATTTGAATATAATATTGTGGGATATAATATTGTGGGATATAAAAAGACCAGGGAATGTTAAGAGGAACTTGGGATTTTGTGGAAGAAACAAAAGAAAAATAATGAAATATGTATATATATATATATATATATATATATATATATATATATATATATATTCAAGTCTGATGTATTTTCTTCCCTTAACTTTTGTTTTAAATATTTAGTAGACAGAAGATGCCTCAAAATAAAATTTCTCATCTTCTTGTTTTTGGGGAATGGAATAAAATACATATTGACTTTATCTGCCTACACTAGTTAGAACAGGCTCAATAAAGAATTTAAGGTCTTTTCATGGACATTAGTTAAAAGAAAAAAAAAATGCCAGGCATATTAGCTTACATGGGGAGTTCCAACATGTGGTGGTACTTGCAGGTGTCTTTTCTTTGCTGAGGCAGATGAGCTCTGAATTTGCTATGAGTTGCATAGCAAGACCCCATCTTAAGAGACAAACCAAATACAGAAGAAGAGTGTAATCTTTGTTCACTCTCTAAGATGAGGAAGCACAGGAATAGTAGCAAAGCTTGGAAGCTTTCTTGTTGCGTCAGGTATTGGGACAAAATTACGAAAACACCCTTTAAAGGCATGTAAAACTTATAAACTAATTTTTATAGCAAAAATCTTGAACATTAAAATGAAATTCTGATGTGTACACTTCATTTCTGCTTTGAGTTCCTTTCATTACTGTCCCTTTCTCCATTTGAAACTTTGAAGCTAGGGTTGGGCTAGGGTTGTGATGTTCAGAGGTTTGAGGGTCATTCATAGATTAAAGTGAGTTCCAAACATGAAAAGGAACAATTTGTAGATGATGGCCTTGAGAGCACTTGATTCTATTTATCTGGAAAAGATTTTTGGTGGTGTTGGTGACGTTTGGTGGTGGTTGGTTGCTGGGTTTTGACGGATTTGTCTCAACCTCCTGAGTGCTGAAATTACAGGCATGTGCTGTCATGCCTAGTTTTATCTGAAAGAAATTTAAAACCTGAATCCAGTCATTCTTGATTACGTATAAAAAGTTCTGGTCTTCATAGTGGCTAGGCTGCATCCTTTCCTGCAGGCTTTCTTAACACACATTTGTTAAGATCAAACCTGAATAAAACTACATGTTAATATGAAAAAATACACATGCCTTTATTTTCTAAGTCTATAATTTAAAGAGTATATTATTATAATCCTAACTGATAAGCATACATGCAGGCCTCTGTTTTTGGAAATGATGCAATAGTAGAAAATAAGGGACTTTTCTTACATATTTTTATTTAATATGAATTTATCTGGGAGTTTGATACATAGGTATAGGCTCAGTATAAATGATATAATACAGAAAGTATATTAGTTGTATTAATGTGTGCCTTTCATTTACCTATAGTATGTAAAAAAATCTTTTTTGTGCTACCACCACTTATTTGGTGAAATGTTCTTAAAAGTATTGTGATGTTTTTCAATTATAAATTCATAAGTATTTTATCAATTCAAAACTAAAAGTAGTCCTGCTTTCTGTCAACTCTTCATTTGTTATAATTCTTTATGTCTCTTAGCTGCTTCAAATCCAGGCCTTTTCCCCTCTTTCAACTGGGTTTAAAAGGTTCCTTGGGAGGGATCAGTTTTGCTTCTTTGTATTATATGATGTGAACTTCCCCATATTACAACATTTAAAAATTTTTACTTTAAAGAGGTAGTAGTATATAATCAAAAATATAAAAATTATTTGAAGTTTGAAATTATTTAAAGTTTGATTATTAGTTAATTTTCTAAGAATGCATATGAGGTTAATCTCATGGTAATATAACAGTAAGAAAATGCTTCAAGGTGGGACCTGAGGAGTTCACGTTTAGTGTGAAGCAACTGTAGCCAAGTGTTTGTGTTCTCCTTTACTGTACAGGTTCCCCATATACCTGTGTCTGTAAAGCACAGGGCTGTGAGATTTGAGCTGTTACATTATATTGAATTTTTTAGATTTCATTATGAGAATGACTTAAGCAGGAATAACAAGTTGTATTTTACGAAATGAACAAACCAAAATGGTGACCTGCCTGCTGCTTTTGGCAGCTGGAATAAGACCAGTTGGTTCTACGGCAGCTCCTGTTGATTGTTTGATGGTTGGAAAGGACCATGGTGTCACAGAGTTCTGGACTGTGAAAGCTCAGATGTGTTCTACCACCAAGAATGACCTGTTATTGGGTGCAAAAGTCAGCATTGTGGTATGAGCTACATTATTTGAATTTCTACTGAATTTTGGATAATTGTTTTGTAATTTGCCAACGTTGTACTTGGTACAGTCCCTTTGTAGTGAGTTTGACTATTGTCTTAAATGTATGTGCTAAGGTAACTGAAAAAATTAAAATCTATCTCAGTGTTGAAAACATTCTAATAAAATGCATATAGTAAACGCTTCCTAATCTCCAGTTCTGCTTATTTGGCATCCGTGTTTATTATGTCTGTGATCTTCTGAACATTATATAGGAGTGAAGGTCAATAAAAACTTGGGATTTTTTTTTTTTAGTAGACAGATTCTAATTGCCAGTTAATGTCAAGATTCTGTAGAAAAAAAATCATTCTATTTTTGTACAAGGGATTAAAACTAGGGCCTCACAAAGGCAGGCAGGTGCCCTCCACTAAGCCAAAACTCTGGGCCTGTGGGTCTGTGGTGGTTTGAATATGTTTGGCCTCCATAGACTCATGTATTTAAATGCTTGGCCCACAGGGAATGGCACTATTTGGAGGTATGGCCTTGTTGGAGGAAGTGTGTTCTGTCACTGTGGGGGTGGGCTTTGAGGTCTCATAAGCCCAGTGTGAAGAAGAGCTTCCTACTGCCTGCATGTAGAAGCCAGTCTCCTGACTGCCTTCCAATCAAGAACTCTCAGCTCCTTCAGCAACATTCCTGCCTGCTACCATGCTTTCTGCCATGATGATAGTAGACTAACTTATGAAATTGTAAGCCAGCCCCAATTAAATGTTTGCCTTTATAAGTGTTGCCTTGGTCATGGTGACTCTTCACAGAAAAAAAAAAAAAAAAAAAAAAAAAAAAACTAAGAAGTTTGGTACCAAGGACTGGGGTATTGCTGTAATAGGCCTGACCATGTTTTTGTTTGGAGGAATGCAGATTTGGGGAGCTCGGATTAGGGAATTAATGGAAAGCTTTCAAAGGGACTTAACAGGCCACCCTAATAGGAATATGAAAGACAGTGGTGCTGAAAATGATTTGAACTCTGAGAATCTGGCTCAAGAGGTTTCAGAGGAAAAGAATTTATTATGTGGCTTAGAGACTGTTCTTGTGCTATGATGGTACGCTAAAGTGAGGAGATTTAGATTAATTGCATTGACAAAGGAAATCTCAAAACAGCCTACCATAGATTCTGTCCTGTGGTTCACTCTAATGAAGAAGAGCCTTTTATTCAGCTGTAACAAACTGAGAAAGAAAAAATACAGAATGTATGGTTCAAAGATAAATAGGAACACCAGGAATTGAAATGGAGCTAAATCATGTGCTCAACAATATTAAATGGAATTTTAAAAAATGGTGACCTCAGAGCAAGATCCCACCCAGCTAAGCTTATTGTTTATGTGTTTGCAGTTGAGGGATAGTTACATCATTTTAGGCAATATTATGCTCTGATTACTGTTTTCATTTGGACATATAGAAATATGTGCATCAAATTGACAAAGGATGTATTGTGATGGCTATTCTCAGCTTGTCTATATTTGGAATGGACTACAATCCAAAAACAGAGGGCACAAGATCCAGATCTTGAGGCTGGAAGATATAGGCTTTTGATCCAGATCTTGAGGCATAGTGATGATGCTTATAAAGATCTTATAAAAAGGAACTAAAGAAAAAGTTAAGTCCAGGTATGTTGGTACACACCTTTAGCCTTTATTCCTAGCACACAGGAGACAGAGCATGTAGATCTTTGGGTTCAAGGTCAGTCTACAGTGAAAGTTCCAGGACAGCTTAGGAATGTTTTTGATGAGAAAGGAAATCATCAAAAACAGTTGGTGAAGATGTAACGGAACAAAGGGACCATCAAGCAACAGAAGTCAACTCAACATGGCTGTGTATGTGTGTTCATTTAAAAACTTTAATCAGAATAATCCATGCTAGGTTGCTGAATTTCTTGTTACTGTATTAGTCATCAAGGAAATGCAAATCAAAACAACTCTGAGATTCCACCTTACACCCATTAGAATGGCTAAGATCAAAAACTCAAGTGACAATATATGCTGGTGAGGATGTGGAGAAAGAAGAACACTCCTCCTTTCTGGTGGGAGTGCAAACTTGTACAACCCCTTTGGAAATTAATCTGGAGATTTCTCAGAAAATTGGGAATAGCTCTACCTAAAGACCCAGTCATACCACTCCTGGGCATATTCCCAAAAGATACTCCACCATACAACAAGGACATTTGTTCAACTATGTTCAACTATAGCAGCTTTATTCTTAATAGCCAGAAACTGGAAACAACCCATATGTCCCTCAAATGAAGAACAGATAAAGAAACTGTGGTACATTTATACAATGGACTACTACTCAGCTATTAAAAACAAGGAAATCATGAAATTTGGAGGCAAATAGATGGAACTGGGAAAGACCATCCTGAGTGAGTTAACCCAGACCCCAAAAAATACACAAGGTATGTACTTACTTACATGCAGATATTAGCTATATAGTACAAGATAACCATACTACAATTCAGAGACACAAAGAAGCTAAGTAACAAGGAGGGCCCCAAGGAAGATGCTTGAATTTCACTCAGAAGGGGAAATAGAATAGGCATTGGAAGTAGTTGAGACAAAACAGGATAGGAGAGGGAGTACAGAGGGAAAGAAGGGTAGGCAAACGGGTGGGGAGCAGATATGGGGAGAGTGGGGATGAGAAGAAAGAGGTCTTACAGAAAGAAGATAAATTGTTGAAGGGGGCGTTTCTGAGACAAGCTGGAGGCCTAGAACAGGGTAGGCTTCAGGGAGGATTTGGGAGTGACTCTAATTGTGATCTCTAGTAGCCATGGTCATGGAGACTGAAGAGGCCACCCTCTAATTAGACAGGAGGTGGAACACCAACCCACC